ACGGACTCGTGACATCTCTATTCTTCGTGAGGTATTCTTGAATAGTATCTTAGACCTCTTACGATCCTCGGACCTCTTACGATCCTCGGATCTTATGATACATACATAAGAAGCGTACCTTACGATAGGTACGTAGGAATGGTATGTTCCTTCATTCCTTTCTTCAAAGCTTCGTATCGTACGTATACTTCCTTTCAATACGTACATATCCTATCCAGTACGTACGTATCCATTGCAGGAATCACCCAATGACTGCTGAATGGCCAAATCGATTCCCGGGGCCCCTCAAAACAAATAAATGGTTCCGAGGTGATTCAATCATGAATCCGGCCTTTCAATCATGAATACCATCCAAAAACTAGCTCAGTAGAACCTAGTCTTAGACTACTTTAGAAAATATTTGCGTTAGCGAGCCAACTGAGAATGTTTTCCCCTCCTTTTCCGATTACGCGTGGAATTGAGTATTTGGTAGATGGATCTGACGTAAATTTAAGAGATGAATTTCTTCGTTTGTGATGACAGCAAATTGAAATAGTCCGCTGCGGTCTCTATCTGGCCTTTCAAAAAGCGGAGGCCAATAATAACAAAGAACAGATGATCGCAATGATGGAAACCACCAAGTCTTCGCGCCGTGTGTTGATCGCTGTAGTGCTCGTCGCAATAACGATGACGAACGACGTCGGTGGTTTTAATCCGGCCGTTAGCGTTCAATCTAACGCTCAGAGCAGGAGCAAGTTGAACTACGTTCCGGCTCGGGTGGATACCTTTGTCGAAGCCGATGATTCGGCGGGAGGCGTTGGATTGGCTAAAGACTCTGCAATTAAGATTGTAGGTGACGTCAAGCATAAACCAGGAAAGGCAGAGAGTCTTCCAAAGGATCTGCTGAGATACAACAACTTGCTGACCGTTGACGAGGCGACTGTGCAAAGCGCATTGAAGAATTCTGGATCGACAATTCTTTGTATGGGACAAGGAGTCGAATTGTACAAGGATCCTGGCCAGACCACTAACAAAGAAGTTACTTATGGGCCACAAGAAGCTATAAAGGATGCATTCACAACAGCAGCATCTGCCATGGAGAGCGAGACTCTGGTGTTCAACTTTCTTGGCGGAGATGATTTGATGCTGGGAGAAGTCACCGATGCATGCAGCGAACTGGTTGTGGCGTTGGATATTGCAACGAAGGCGAAGATTTCTTTCAATTCTGTCAGCCACAAGGCGATCCCAAAGGGAACGTGTACTGTGACAGTTGTATCGGTCGGAAGTCCAGCGGGCGACTCCATGATAGCACAGGGAGAAGTTTACTGTCGCGATCAAACTTATTACACGCTCCAAGAGTCGGATCTCAATGATGAATAAGTAGTAGCAACGAGTTAATTGATGCTCTGATGTATTTATGTTCGTCTAGGCAATTTTTTCTTTATTACTTCGTGTTATCCGATATCCCTGCTTGAGGTCTTGTCGGTAGCAGATTTGACAACGATGTTCCCATCTAAGGAGTCATCTGTAGGCTTAGTAGTCATAGCTTTGGATGGATCGACGTCGACAACAATGGCCAATGGCGGAATCAAAACGTCTTTCTCAGGACATATTGCCGTTGAGATATTGGGATCTCTATAAACGACGGATTTTTCCTCAAGAGCCATTTGGTTGCTCCCATTTATGGTTGAGGGCATTGATTGCACTGATGGCAGGAGCTTCAGTACTAGTTTCGGTAATGCTGAGGCCAGGGCAGTTGAATTCGAACTTTTGGGGTTTGAAGTTTCATTGTCTTTTTTATTCCCGCTGTTCTGACGCCGATCCTTTGGTAATTTTGCAGGCTGGGATTTCTTGGGATCTATCCAAAAGTTGTTTGGAGTAACGGCTTCATTACCACCACTACCTTTCCGGGGCAACATGGCCATCGTCTCTAAGACCTTTTCACTTGGTTTCCGTTTACGTGGGGATAATCTTCTACCGCTTGGACATACCAGGAATTTGTCACTATTTTTTGCTGCAGCAGAGGCAGAACCGGAATTTCCTTCTAAAGGTAGGACAAGGTGATTCAAACTGTTCTTTTTCTGGCGATACATAGTGACTGTCTTACTTTTGGACGGGAGTTTTGGACTTTGGAATGGTAGCTTCTGATTGACATTGACTGAGGACGACGACGATTTACCCTTGGCACCTTGTTGTCTTTTTGCCAATTCGTTTGTTGTGTTACCACCACAACTACAAACGGTAATTGGAATCGGCTTGCTCTTTTGTCCTGTGGCGGGCATTTTAGTGGTGGATAGTTCGTTCTGTGCAGAATTGGACGGGATCTTTCTTTTGTTGCTAACATTCGATTCAACCACGCACCCATTTGCGATCGATAAACCAGCCTTGTGCCGCCTTCGTAATTCTTTAAAAGCAGTGACATCGTAGTATGGGTGCTTCGTAAGAGGGTCGAGGTACCTCCCAATTCTCCCAGTGATCACACAACGCTTCGATTGTTGCTGCAATGGCTGCGATGGAGGTTGTGCCCCTTGGATAACGTCCTGTGTTTGATGCTGTTGTAGTGACTGCTGCCTTCTGGTCAATATTTCGGGCACGGAATCCATTTCGGGGAAGGTCAGCGTGATGAGACAACCGCGCCTAGAATGAAATTTCTGAACAATCTTTCTCCCCCTGTGCCTCTCTCGCAAGCCGGCGTTGGAATCTTTTTCTCGATCGTGCTGATCTTGGACTCGTTTGCGTCCATGTAGCCATCGTTGGTTTTCGGGCTCTGTATCGTGAACTGCTTCTAACAAAAGCTCTTCTTGCGAAATTCGCTTTTGCTTCGCAGCAGACAAAACGCGGGGAGTGACGCCGCTGCTCGATGGCTTCTTTTGACCAGACGGAGGAGCGGTCTTTCGTGTCGACATAGTCCTTGTTGCTTCGGTTGCTGAGCCCCCACAACTCCGAAGCTTTCGGGTTTGGGATCTTCGTTCGCGTGACGAAGCATGTGACTCTCGAACGACAGGATCTCTGGTTGCTCTTCGAGATGATTTTCTTTGTGACGAGGATGTTGTTGTTGTTGCTTGCGCCGTTGTTGTTTTGGTGACAGTAACTTCGCTGGCTGGTGGTAATGCGGTAAATCTAGTCAGGTTTGCAAGATCGGTAGAAGTAGTAGTAGATGGTATTACTTTTGTAGATGTTGTTTGAGTTTCAGGTTCTAATGGTGCAGGTTGTTTGTGCTGTATCACTTGTAGAGTACCATTTGCCTTCTCCGACAAAGATTCCATGTAAGCAAGGGAGTCAGAAGACTCCGGCGGTAGATTCAAAACAATGCCAGCATTAAAGCCTTCGCCTATGGCACGTTTGAAAGCACCAGAGCCACCTTTTCTCCCTTTCCCTCGGGCGGAAACATCGGCACTCAAGTTTCCATAAGCGGCGTGGATATTGGTTTTCGGTCTTCGCCTTGCACGCTCGCTTTTCCTCAGCTCACGTTCTTCGGCTTCTCCTGCCGCCACCTCCTCATCTTCGTTGTCTGATTCGCTGTCGTTGAAATCCGAGTCGAAGACATCCTTCCGAAGAGCTGAATCCTCGTCGGATTCGTGAAAGGATTCGTTGCCGCTGTCGTCTTCMGCCCATGTCTCGTGACTCCAAAATGCGTCGTCTTCCTCTTCCATTTTCTTCCCCAGTATTTCCATGCGCTTGCCCGCATTCTTGCGCCGTTCTCTGTTTACTATCGACATCCTCACTTAGTTTCCTGCTGCCACTCCGCGTGGCGTACTTGTCTAGAGACGAGAAAGCTGAAAATCACAGTCTCTGGGATCGTGTCGATATCCGTGATGGATGATTTATCATTTCGCAGCAAAAGTCCTCTCTCTTCCAACAAACAGAATACAGTATGCTCTCAAAGAAAGACACGCAAGGGAACTGTTTTGAGACTTATGGTTTCTCCAATGGATCGTTTTGGCTAGGTGATAGGACGGTTTTACTGTATGTACGGTTGGGGTTACGAAACTCGTAGTAAGTCTGTGTAAACGACGGAACGGCTACGAGGGTTTTTTTTTTAACAGTAGTTCTTTACTGTACAAGGGGCCAAACACGCTAGCTCTCTTGACAAGAACGAAGTGGCACGAAAATCCTTCCAAATCGTTTGGTTGCGCGCGCTATTTTTGTTATGACTAAACAATGAAAAGAAAGTTGACAATTAGAGTTAAGGATTACCGTATACACAATACTACGAAGTACCAAGACAGAAAACAGAACAATACCAGAGCTACGTTTACAACGCTCATACTGCACGAAATTACATGTTGCACGAGATTACGTAGGGTGATCGTTACCCTTTTTGTTGAATGGGCATTCCCCCCAAGTATGTTCTCCATTGTGCTTGTTACAGGCCTTGCATTGACTCTATTCTGTCTTTCATTCTGTTGGTTGTTATTGCTGTGGTTACTGTTGCTATTATTGTTTTTCCTTTGTTTTCCATTTCTTCCTCCGCGTCCTGCATCATCTGCTGGTCTCTTCCTCGATCGTTGTTGTTGATCCTCATCTGCTATCCCTTTTTGGTCTGTCATGTATTCCACAATTTCTTCAATCGTGTCCTTTAGGATGTCTCTTCCACACTTAACATAGTCATTCTGCCAGGATTTGGGGAAGGATCTAAAGAGAATCTTTTTGATCTCTCTGGCTGATAATGGCTCCCTGATGCCATGAAGAAGGATGTTGGCTCCTCTGGCGCAGCAGGTCTCAACTCTGTCAGCATGGGCTTCACAGGAGACAGCATGGGGCTTCCTAATAGCGTCTGATTCCAAATATTCAACGACATCATCTCTAGCTGTCTTAGATGGTGCATAGAACTTCCTGAAAGTGAGGAGGGCTGTCTTCCATTGTGCCAAGCTGTCTCTTGATCCTTCCGGTAATCTGTTGTTGTTCCACATGCTGTTCCATTTCTGTCTGGGCGTGTGCGCAAGGACCATTTGCCACTTCTGGTCTATTTTATCCTCTGGTATTTCCAAGTCCAATATTGCATCTTCAAAATCTTCTTGAACATGAAACAGTTCTTGTACTCCATGCTCCCCGGAGAAGGTTAAGCAGGTCTTTGTCAGCTTTCTTACTGGGTTTCTGAGATTCACTGTCATTGAGTGCACGAGATTACGTGTACTCTTAGTAGGTGTTAAGTGTGTATGAAAATTGAAATTATAAGATTAGAATTATTCGAAGATTACCAAGCGCGTTCACGAGAATTCCAAAGTTCTGATCAGAAGCTCATGTAGACCTGGTAGGGATTCTACATGGAGCTTCTCTATTCCGGACTCGTGACATCTCTATTCTTCGTGAGGTATTCTTGAAGAGTATCTTAGACCTCTTACGATCCTCGGACCTCTTTTGATACATCCTATGATACATAGATATGAATAGTACCTTACGATAGGTACGTAGGAATGGTATGCTCCATCATTCCTTTCTTCGAAGCTTCGTATCGTACGTATACTTCAGATATAGTACGTACGTATCCAGTATGTACGTATCCATTGCATTGTCCCGGACAGTAATATTGCTCATTCATTACTGTAATATTACTCACTACTAAACTGTAGCAATCATATCTTCAATATTCTCAACCGGGGGCTCTTCTTCTGCAATAGGATCTTCAGGAGCTCCCTTAMACGGCACAAGCTTCCGAATGTTTACAGTCTCACGTACATTGTCACTTCTTTGCAACACCACAGTCCCATTGGTGTTGATTTCCACWATGGGATAAGGACCATGTAGTCTTTGGGACAGCTTGTCTGGTTCGTAGTGTTTCATATAGGCTTGCTGTCCAACCTGATACTTAAAGGGTATTCGCCTAGCATTTTCTCTCCTGAGGTTCTCATCTATCTGGTGTTGTCGTTTGTTTCTGATAAGATTCAAATCAGCAATGAGAGGGATATCCATCACCATATCTCTATTGAAAACCAGAGCTCCTGGTGATGTCTTCACAGCAGCATTCACAGCGCATCTGGTAGCATGCATTGCAGATGCAAGAGCATTGTCAATCAGTTGATCTTCATCAAATTCAGCTTCYTCWAGTGATGTTGAATGAAGATTAGCTCTTAGAACATTGGCTATAGTCTGATGAACTCTTTCACAAACTGCATTTGCCTGTGGATTCTTGACTGTGGTTTGGACGCTCTTGATTCCAAATTGGTTCAGTAACTCTTTGAACTCTGTTCCAATGAATTCTTTGCCGTTGTCGTGGACACACCTGTTGGGTCTTGGGTATCTAGATAACCAACTGTTAGCAAACTGCTCTGCAACGTGCTCACTTGATTTGTTGTTGATTCTGATGATTTCCAATAGGTTAGTGACTGGATCAATACAGGTAAGTGCATTGATAACTAATTCAGTTTCATC